TCTTTCACCTCGGTAATAGGTCGACTCAGAGGAGAGAAAAAGAACCCGGGCGGAGAAGGAGTAAGTTCGTGGTTGGTCGCACAACAGGACCCACTGTTTCTTATGGGGACATGAGCCCAGTTCACATCCCATGTAAAGTGTAGGCTAGGTTTAGGGTCAAATGGTAATAGGAAATGAAATGTAATGTAAATGTAAATGAATGAAAGTCAATGCAAAGTCCCCATGAGGATAGAAGAACAAACATGTCTAAGTGTGTGTGTGTGAGGGGACAGTCAGAGCGCTGCAGGGAGGAAATCAGACAGTTCAGAGGTTTCCTCATGAGTTTCTGGGACAGCTACAGGCTTTTTGGGTGTTTTGTTAAAACAAAGATGGTGCGTTTAAGTTTCCTGTTATTTTTGGGAGCTACAGGTAAAGTCTTGACCTGACAAGTTTGTCGCGGGTCTGGGGGAGTTTCAGCCCCCACCCCTTCTCCTCCTTCTCTCTCTCTCTCTCTCTCTCTGTCTCACTCCTTCTCTCTCTGTCTCTCTCTGTCTCTCTCTCTCTGTCTCTGTCTCTGTCTCCCTCCGCAGCGAAATCCAGGCTCTAGTGCCCCGACACTTGCTGCAGCCCCGTTCTGCTTTGAAACGTTTTGTTTAGCAACGAGCTCTCATGCTAAAGCGAGAGTTGACTCCTCCCACACTAAGAAAACAGGAGGGGAGGGGTCAGCTGCAGGAGCTCATCACAGGAGCTCATCACAGGAGCTCATCCTGTGCAGCGGAGCACAGAGAGGGAGAGACACGAAGTAAACAAACAAGCAGGAAAATGAAACTTATCGGTCCCTTTTTTTTTACCGACCTCAAAAAAAGTTATCGTGCAATTAATTGATTTATTGACTATCGCGACAGGCCTAGCTTCAACCGCTTTTTATGACATGGTTTCATTTCCAAACTCAGGGATTTTGTGAATGAGGCCGATATTTCAGTTAAAATACATCAGCAAAAATATTTATCCGAGTATAGTACTACCCCCCAACTTTGTGCATGATTTTATGGATTAAATTTTACGTATTAGACTTGAATACATACGGTCATTGATTCATCCTAAAAAATAAACAACAAATTTATCGACTATCAAAATAATCATTAAGTGCAGCCCTACTGGACACCCGTCTCACCTGTCTGATGTCCCATCTGAGTGCCGTCTGAGGCCGGCATGGTGAAGTCGGCCTCCCAAATAGGTGAATTCTCACCATAGATTTCCTCCTCCAGCATTGACAAAAACCTGAAAACACACGTGATGAACAGGATCTTCATAAGAGAAATAAAGATTTATTTTAATATATAAGATGCATCTCAGTACACTCAGATTCATCTGATTCTATTGGTGGTTTTTTCCACCTGGAGGACTGAGATAACCCTCCAGATCCTCGTCTGGACCGGCGCGTGCAGCCATCAGCTTATCAGCGTCAGTTCAAGAGACCCCCACTTACTTGGGGAAGTGTGTGAGGATGAGCGTGCGTTTCTCCGGCAGCAGTTTGTCCTTCTCCACTCTGAACTTCTCCAGCAGCTGTCGTCGGGTGACGGTGAAGATGGATTTGAGCAAGTTCCGGCCGAACACCTGGGTGGTCTCGTAGCGGGGCAGGCTGTCGTTGCTCTGCGGGACGTGGCAGTAGCACAACCACCTGACCGTGGCACGCAGCGGAGACAAGCTGATGTTACATCACGACTTCACACACACACACACACACGCTTTCATCGTTAACACATGCACGCACCTGGTGTAGTCCACTTTGTAAGTTGTCGCTTCTTCTTTCTGCGCACGCTGACGGTACTGGGTCGGTGTCTCGAGCTTCCAGTAATTTAGACACAGAAGGAACATCTTTGACAGTTCGAACATGGTCTGCCTCTCCTTTGGTGCGAGGTGGCTGAACTTGTACTGAACAAAATTCAAAACCCCCTGCAGGGGGACAACGTAAAAAAATAAAACAAAACTGTAGTTAAACAAAGAGTAAAAACACTGTTAAACATTAGGACATATCTGGAAAGGTTTCATGTTGACCTGCTCAATGTTGGGCTTTTGAAACGGTGGGCTTCCAAGGGACCCCTCTACAACCGGCTGGCTCATCTGGAGGATGCATTTCCTCAGGAGCTTAAAGAAAAAGGGCGGAAGTGAAGAATAAAACGGCACCGTCATGCTTAGGTTTGTGCTCACTGTTCCCAGCCCCTAGCAAAAAGTAGTATACTTGAAGTTCATTTTAATAAGTATACTTGAGTTTAAGTTTAAGTATATCAAGTATACTAGGCACCATGTACTTGTAGTGTACTAGAAAGTGTACTAATTTAATACTTGTCTGTACTCAATTGGGACATAAGCTTATAAAAAGTAATGCTGGGCGGTACCGTTTTGTACCGAATACCGGTTTTTATTTTTGTCATGATATGAATTTTCTTAAAGGCACAGTGTGTAGGATTTTGTCAATTCTTTTAGTTGAAATTGAGATAATCACAAATGACAATAATAAAAAACATGTCTAATCATTGCAGACAAAGACCTTGTTTTATTATTTTGACCTTATAAAAAGCT